TCATCCCCACAGATCAGACCACACTCTACGGTATGTTTACAGTAGGTTACCTCCCCTCCCATCACATCAATGTCCTCATCCCCACAGATCAGACCACACTCTACGGTATGTTTACAGTAGGTTACCTCCCCTCTCATCACATCAATATCATCATCCCCACAGATCAGCCCTCACTCTACGGTATGTTTACAGTAGGTTACCTCCCCTCTCATCACATCAATGTCCTCACCCCCAAAGATCAGACCACACTCTACGGTATGTTAATACCTATAATTTATATCCATGAACCAATTGATCAGTCCTAGGTTTCCATAGGGTTTACTCCCCTCTCAACAAACCAACGTCCGCATTCCCACAGATCTGCCCTCTACTGTATGTTACCCGATTCATATCCATGTACCAATAGATCAGTTGTAGGTTTACCGTAGGTTACCTTCCGTCCCTCATATCAATGTCCTCATCCCCACAGATCTGCCCTCTACAGTATGTTACCTGATTCATATCCCTGTACCAATAGATCAGTTGTAGGTTTACCGTAGGTTACCTCCCCTCCCTCATATCCATGTACCAATAGATCAGTTGTAGGTTTACCGTAGGTTACCTTCCCTCCCTCATATCAATGTCTGTGTCCTCATATCTAAAACATGTTAGGGTTATGCCTACAATAAAATGATTACTAAATTTTAGCTATTTATGAATATTTTTAAATATTTTCTGTTTTATAAATCAAAGAAAATGGGAGCTCAAACGTTAGCATTCTATCTTTTTATAATGAAAAAACTCAATTGGTATATACATGTATTTAGTTTAAAGTTGAGAGAAATCTGTTTCCTGAAGCGCAATTAGCTATGACAATGTTTGAAAATCTTCGGAAGTGTTGTGTAGCTGACTGGGTTGATAATGTTTGTTACAGGGAGGTGGTTATAGTCCTCGTCCTTCCCAGGCTGTCATCGTACAACCCACACAGACAGCCCAGTACCAGCTACGCGACGACATTGAGGACGATTTTAACTGGGACAAATTACTATGATATACTGTGCCCATCATCATCGTTATCATCACACTGTGCATTAGGTTTTGTAACGTTGTGTCATTCATTCAGTCATATTGTCTGTTATTTATAAATGTGGGAAGCTGTGCAAAGATTTGTGTGGAGTTCCGAGGATGATTTCGAAGTAGAGAGAATCGGTCAAGTGCTGGAGTGAGGAAGGTACATGTTCCTAACAGAAGCTGAGATGCTGGATCAACTTAAACTGCGAGAGTGCTATTAGAACCTTAAATGAAATAATGAATGTATAATTTAACACTTTTAAATGCAGACTGGTTTAAACCCTGTGATCATGTACAGTACAAGCCTGTTTCTATATATACATCACTTTATATAACTATCTACAACTGATGTTCAACTTAAACCAGTACTAGCTTGTTGGTATAAGACACAAGTTAAACCAGTACTAGCTTGTTGGTATAAGACACAACTTAAACCAGTACTAGCTTGTTGGTATAAGACACAAGTTTAAATGAAGAATGCAAACAGGCAGTAGCATTTGTTTTCAATTTTAAACAAATTTTTATATATTTTTGAAAAAACTGAAAAGTGTAAAGGGGAAAAAAGACACTTTCAAACTTTTTGTTCTTTCTGGAATTTTTTTTTTTTTTGAAAATTTGAACAATTAGATACAAAGAAATAGATAAGTTATTATAGGAAATAGTATTTTTTGCGCAGTTTTAATATATTTGCAATGAAAATACTGTATTCTTTATGAGTAAATTAATCGAGTAAACAACTTCTTGTACATGTATATTTTGATGCTGATGACCTATGTACAGGTACATATAGAACTGACTTACAATTGTAATTTTATGGCATTGCTAGAAATGTATTGAATGACATAGGGTGCGTTTTTAGCATGTTGTGTTTCAATGAAACATGATAGTCCTATACATTGTGAATTGCTGTGAAGTTAACCCCCTATGTATCAGTGTTAGACAGAGTATAATTATAGCTGTTGATACATTGTGGGGATGTACAATTCCACTAGCCCTATACCCAGGACGAGTAGACTTTATTCAGGGCTGGTGAACAATTTCTATGTGTACTTGGAAAAATTTTGAAGCAGTAAAAGTTAAAAAAAAAATAAAAAAGAAGCTACGGTTGCTTAATGGTTAAGGTGTCTGACATTCTGCTACCACTAGCCCTCCACCACTGGGTCGCGGGTTTGAGACCTATGTGGGGCGGTTGCAAGGTACTGACTGCAGGTCAGTGGTTTTTCTCCAGGTGCTCCAGGTTTCCTTCACCACCAAAACCTGGCACGTCCTTAAATGACCATAGCTGTTAATAGGACGTAAAAACTGCTTGCAAGCTAGTATTTTAAATATGAAATTGTACATCCCTGCATTGATTTCACCACACATATTGGGTATGTCATTCATTGTTATCTCAAATATTTCAAGCAGAACCTTGTTCAGAAAAGCAAGCCAGTAAATATAAATTGTTTATGGTGATGTGGTTTCATTAACTTGGACAGTTTGTTCTAGAAAGAAGAAAAACTGTTCCCTCAATGCCAGGGTGGGTAGGTAGACAACCTGGCTGGGGATTGCTCTGAGGCTAGACTGTTTTGATACACTATATGATTTTACTGGAAGGACACGCTGTATAATGTCCACCGACACAGTAGTTTACGGTATGAACGCTGACTAGATTACTTCTATATGACACACACTATGTGAACTAACCTTTCTGTATATATTTCATTAGGACTTAACATTTTGCTCAATATGCGTGACTTACCCTGTGTGTGTGAATAATTGTCCATGTCATACTTGAATATGTGATTGATGCTTCATAGTTGTAAGTGTTTACAAACAATAAATATCACGTGAAACACAGTAATCTACATGATGACATGGTAATATTGGTCTTTAACAGTGATTGTCTTTGGATAGTTTACAGTCGATTTTATATAAAAAAGGCAATTTGTATTTTTTTTCATAATCGTATGATAGTGTGAATGATAAATGCTTCACACTGAACAGAAAGATATATTGAGCACAGTACGTCTATATCGATAAACTGCATGTGTGTACATGTTGGTGTGTGTAGTTGTGTATTCAAGTGTGTATGCATTGTCGTGTTACATGGCCATTTTAGTTCTTTACCACCTTCAATGTGTGCTCCAAATCTGTTTTGCAAATTGACTGGATGACAATTTCAGCACAAATAATTATGAATTAAACATCATTCTTCATATTTTAATAGAATAAAGCAAGGGAAGAATTTTTTCTTAATATTATGTTAGAATTAAATCATTCAGACATTTTTTTATGTACATGTTTTTAAGCGTTCCAATGATTTGTGATAAATAACTGAAAATACCAATTCCTGAAAAGATTTTTTTTAAATTTCATTAGAACACCTTCATCTATTTTGTTAATGAGGTAAATTTTAATTGATGTTAATTTTTCCAACAATTGATTTGTGAATAGTAAAGGGCTGATCATGAGTGAGTGAGTAAAATGTGTGCCATATACAAATATTATGATGATCATGTCAAAATGGGCTCAAGTATTGATTTTCCAGAAATTCTTTGTATTGTATATTTAAATGAATTTTTCATTATGTGTACAAAATTTATTTATTTTCCAAGGAAAAATTTAAGTTTTTAATGATAATACAGATGACTGTATATATAGAATGTAACAAAAAAAGTAATATATTTAAATGAAATATTGTACAGTGATATATAGATGTATTTATTTAAATTATAAATATCATATTTGTTTTAGAAAAAAATAGAATTATATTAAAAGAGGAAGTTTGGATAAGACTGTTTACAAGTCTTCTGTAGGGCTATTTGTTTTGTGCATTTGTCAGTCTCTATATAAAAACTAATCAGACCTTTAGAATTAAAGAGTCTATCACTATTAGATTGAAAAATGTCAACCAATCAGATTTTAGATTGTTTGTCTAGGACAAGATTAGCCTACTTTAGTTACTGAAAATACCGTTTCCTAGGCATCCGCCTTTTAATATATGAAGTTACAACACACACAGGTCCAACCATAGGGCAAGAGACAGATAAAAACTTAAAGGGAGAACAGTGACTCAACTGTCACAACAGACAGATACAAACTTAAAGGGAGAACAGTGACTCAACTGTCACAATAGACAGAAAAAACTTAAAGGGAGAACAGTGACTCATCTGTCACAATAGACAGATAAAAACTTAAAGGGAGAACAGTGACTCATCTGTCACAATAGACAGATAAAAACTTAAAGGGAGAACAGTGACTCAACTGTCACATGTAAAATGTATTTTATAACACTGACCTATGCCGTTTGATTTCCTTCTCAAGAAAAAAAAAATCTGATTTCCTGAAAGAGAAAAATAGATGTTTTCTCATTGACTTCATAGTCATCAATTTGGAGTCTGAAAATGAGTTTAATGAAAAAGGAATATGTACTAACTGATATTTGAATGTGCTGTTTGAGAGAATGTGTGAATACAAATGGACAATCATATAGTTTAAGTTTGAGAGGGAATGTTACTGAATGTCGTCAAACTTCCTGTAGTTAAATTTATTAGGTTATCATTAATGATATGGCTGAATATTATAATATACATATGTCACATTAAACTGGGTTGATCTGAATTTCATGAGAAAATATATCATTTGGATCAAATGATCATTTTTGAAAATTCACTGTTTTCCCCCCATTTCAGTTTGTTTGGAAAGTGGGAAAGAATCGATAAGACCCCATTTATTCATGTTCACTTGTGAATACAATATATTTTTCATTTCTTTGAAAGTCTGTTTTGTAGTGAGTCATATCATAGTGTTCATACCATGTTACTTCAGTGTTTATGTATTTTATGAAAACTTTGTGCAATTGAAGAGAATTATTCTCCATATTTGGTATGCTATGCTGTTGTTTCCATATACATAAGGGGGAACTGATATACAATATGTTTTTTATCACCGTTTGAATGTTATGGAATGTTTTGCTTATTAGATTTTTTTTTAAATATTTTTTGGATAAGGATTTGTGTAACTGATTCTTTCGCTTGTTAACTTCTGATGTCCTCGATGACTTATCACAAACAACTGAGTATGGCTTCAGTATGTTGATGGAATCCTGGTGACATATGAATATTTTCCTGCAGTAGTTGAGTGTTTTATGTTTTTGAATGTAGCTTGTAGAAATATAAACAGGTGCACTGTGTTAGCAGAGATGTTGATAATTAAATATGTCTACAAACCAATCCAGGGGAGATAATCGAAGATAAGTGGATGCTGAATGATTTGTTTACGACATTTTACACGCTGATCTTTTCAAACATTACCTCATAATGAAGAAAAAAATCTCTTGAGTTATTCTCTCTTTTATATTTTTCAAAAGAGATTTTCTTTCTTGATTTGTAAATTTACATAAGGTACAGCTTATCTGGGAGAACTTAATGCTCAAAATTGTCTTTATCTAAAATTAGACTTTAGAGATATGACACAAAATTAGGCTTTAGAGATATGACACAAAATTAGACTTTAGAGATATGACACAAAATCAGTTGTTGTCCTGGACATGAACCATGTGAACATCAAGACTATCATTAAGTCGAATCCATACCTTTTGGATTAAATGATTAAAAAAATTATTCTCAAATTAATCTTGATATGAATCATACAATATTTTAAATTTTATAAAATGCTGCATCTTAATGAGTGTCTAGAGCATGGCGCTATACTTCTCAGATTAATAGGGACTTTATAAAGTGTGTAATCGGAGTGCAGGGTTGTGTCAAGTTGAGTCCATAAGATGTTGCAAATTCTTGCAAAACATAACCACAATATAGCTTCTAGTACATATACTGCAACTGGGGTCCTTGCAGATGTTGAACATCTTCTCATGTGGGGCACACAAGTTACTGTACATCAGTTACAGTTGCTATACCTTGTTCAATAAGCATTTACTAATGATTTAGAATAGCACCTGTGTTTTCTCTGTGTCAGTTCTTCAACAAAAGTCAAGGTCAACTTAAAGGGTCAAGTCACCAGTCAATCTTTTACCACAATACCCCTGTTGATCGTCACCCAGATTTACCATTGGACGGTAGAAATGTCTGTTGCAGTAATTAGAGGCGTCACGATTCACCGCGATTCACTTGTACCACGATTATTTATGTTCGATTGGATTCACGATTAATTTTCCGGATTTTCGATGCGTCACAATCTGAATATTAATGTATGCCGCTTCAGCCGAATCGTCTTGTTCAATTTCATTGGCTGATATCTAAACCCTCAACCAATCCGCTGCGAGGATGCAATTTTCACAAAGCATTCATACCAAAATGGCGGACCGCCGTAAGGTAGCAGTGTACAGTAGAAATGGCTTGACCTTAAAAATAAAGGGCATGTCTCACATAAACATGGATAGTGAATTCACAACACACCTACATATATACACATATTTATAAACTACATTTTGACTTCATTTTGTTTAGAAGACTGATTTTTTTTTTCAAAAACTGTTTTCCCCAGATTTGGGACTTGTGAAAACCATGGCTACCACATCTAAAAACACGAAAATATGCAAAAAAAATCATGATTTTTTTACCCAAAATTTGACCCCCGCAAGTAGATTTTTTCTTTCTTAAAACCTGTCTGAAATTAATGTAGCCTACTCAGTAACAGAAATACTCACGCTTTAGCATAGGTCATTCCGCTGGATTTTTCACAATATTTACACATGTGCCGAGTACAAAAATAGACTAATGAAAAGCTAGCTTTTGCTGTGTAAACACAGATTTGTAAAATCAAATTTGGTTTGAGACTACAGTTTTGGGCATTTTTTTTTTTTGAAAAATTATGAAGCCCACAAAGTCCACTTTATCATATATGCCAATTTTAGTGCTGATTTTTTTTTTTTTTGATACACGTTATACTACAGGGGTTATTCATTGTTTAAAAATATCACCCATGGCCATCATACGCTACTGTACACTGCTACCTAACGAAATGAAAATTTGTGATGCTCAGGCAAGCTTCAAATCGAAAGTGTGGAAACACTGCGGGTTTCTGTGTATCGGCGGCTTATATATCTCATTTTGTTTATATTTTAAAATAAAGGTGTATTGAATCGAATTAATCGAATCGTGGTACAAGTATCGAGATGCGATGCGTATCATCTTTCATACTTCATGCTGTTATGCAGAATTCATCTATGATGTAGTACTGCTTAAATTTTACGAGTGTTTAGATTTTTGACCACACATTGTTGATAGAATTGCACAAAATAGAATTTTTTTTTTTAAATTTGGTAAAGGCAAATATTTATCACTGAAAAATAAAGATTATTTACGATTGCTTTTACTATAGAGACATACCTTTAGTTAATTACTGCGTTAAATTGATATCAAAATCCTGACTTGTAGATTTCTGAATTATTCAACTCTTTCCTTGCTTTATTGAATGAATATTGAATACCAGTTATTGTATCTTAAGTAACCCATTGCATGAATATGTGATTATGTAAATTCATTTGCAATATCCCACCTTTCAAAATGGCAGCTTTTATGTTTGTAGGAAAAGGTGACTAAATAAGTAACCACAATTAAATCTTCATGAATGTATCCCACAAGAAAGTAAAGGTCTTGTTCAGGATACACATTTATATTATAAAACAAACTTTGTATATTGTTATCTATTTTCTTGTTGAAGGAGACACAGTGTTGTGTAGCTCACATACAGATGTCATTTCTCCTTGTGTTGTAAGGTTGTATTGATGAATTTAGTATAACCAGGGACAACAATTTGTGAACCACTTTGAGACGATCTACAAACTAGGTTGTGATAAAAAAGTATATAAGAACCTCTTAGTACTATTATATAATTAATACTATTATATAATTAGCACAGTGCTACATGCAGGATAATTGTCAATTACCATTTATGAAATGGTCGTAGGATTAGTATTTATAACACATGAACATGTTAATAAGGAAAGTTAATAGTTCCTGTTCCTGCGTTTCTCTGATATTAAATAAACAAGAAGAATTACTAACACTTTACATATGTAAGAGGGTCCCACAATGATATTGGGCAGCAGTTAATTTTGCTTTGCTTCAAAAATTTATTTTTGTGAAACCTAGGTTTCAGGTTACTAAACGAAATAGAGTTTTTAAAATGTTGTGTGATTTTGAAAATCATAGTGTTATTTACGAACTTAAAAGTTTATAGATTTTTTCTGAGAAAACCGGTTTCTCCTTT